AGTAATGGCACACATAACTGAGACTGCGCCTTTTAGTGCGGTGCGCCTTATGGTCGTGAAAATACGGTACTATCATGAAACCAAACAGCAGGACCTAAAGATTCCTCAGCTGATTCCCAGGCTGACACAGATCTAGCAAAGTTTTTTCTCTTTGCAGCTAATTTATCAGTGAAAGAATCTCAACATAACATAAAAGAAAATTTAGACCCAGTGCTCCATGGAAGCCCTCCTAGAAACAGTGAATTATGCTCTGATATCTGACCACCAGTGGATGCAAAAGAAGCTCCTCCATTTCAGCCCTTCCTCCTGAATGTAGTAGCAGTTCGCTCAACGCACATGAGATAAAGTTATCTTTGTAAGGATTGGAAACTGAATCACTGAATGCTCTCTAAAACATTTATTTCCTTCTTCTTACCTTTAACTCCTTCTTAGGCCACAACACAACAGGCACCCCGGTGATCGCCAACTTTGGGTCATCGTCAGCGTGTTCCCTCAGGACAAGCTAAACAGCCAATGATGAAAGAAGACTGTAAACATGTCTGCTCCATTGAGCCTATAACATTGTGATGTCTCTTTTTACATTTGTTACCTTCATGTCATCCAGGAGCGCCTGAGGACTCTCTATTCCCACCGGAACACATTTTTTATTTTCAGGGAGAGACTCCAGCTTCTCCACCAGCGTCCTGAGCCCGATCAGCTCATGCTGCGTCAGATGAATCCACCTGCTCTGAGGATCGGAGCCTGGAGAATCTGAGGGGGTTTTGGGGAAATCTATAGAGGAGGAGCTAGGATTACAGCTGTCCTCCGAGTCGACAGATAAAACCGTTTTGAGCAGTGGGGTCTTGATGTTGTCAGGCGAGCAGGCGCCATCTCCAGCTGGCCTGTCAGTTTTTTCTTCATGGCTGTCCCTGACTTGTGGTCCACAGGAGTCCTCATTTATGTCCTGACTCCTGGAGTCTGAAGAGGGGCTCTCTGTCTTTGTCTTTGTCTCATAGTCTAAAAAAATAAATAAAAATATGTCTCAAGCCTTTTACTCACTAAATCGTTTAGATCCTCAAAGATATTTTAGAACCACAGAAAGTTTAAGGTCATTATGTATTTTGAAGGAGTCGATGGGTATCAATAAGTGTAACAACGCTGATTTAGTCCAAAATAGTTTTTTGTTAATTAACCTTGAGTATTAAATTCAAAGGATGACATTTTACACGCTTAACTACAATTAAATGCAACCACAACTCGATGGTCATTGTGTAAAACCTCCTATCTGAAGGATTTTCACAATTAAAGTTGCTCATATTCAGTCTTTCAAACAAATGTTCTCTGTTGTGACCTAAAGTAAGCTGATAAAAAAAACACTTTCAATCTGGTTCATTTAGTGCAGTTCAAAGTCAGCGACCACTATTTTTAAATTAAGAGCTTTTAAATTCTAACCCTAACATTTAATACAAATTATGTCTTTAACAACTTATTCATCACTGAGTTCTTCTAAATTCTTTTTATTCTGGTTTTTTTTTCAGTTTTTATTTTTTTCCTTAGTAATCAGGGGTGGAGCTAGATGGAGGGCCAGGGGGGCTAAGGTCACTTTAAGCCAATCACTAACTACAGTTCCATTACAAATAAGTGAAAAACTTTGATATTTTACTTAATTTGAAAAGTTTGGTATTTCCATGTAATAACAAATATGATTAATGCACTTGAATACATTTGTTTACGCGGTACCTTTGAAAAGAGCATGACAGCGGCGGATGTAAACACATGGGATATATCCATATTTCAGGCACGGCTCTAGTGGCCGGCATCATCCACCAACAACTGTTCCTGTTACGTCTTTCCACAAGGCGGTTAGATCCATCTTCAGATCACTTGACTCTTGGATGTGAAAAAAGTGTTTCCTTTGTAGTTTTATTTTTGTAAAATCTAAGTGTTTTGATATGGCCGAAATACCACCGAAACAAAGCGTGAAAACTTTTCACTGAAGATATAGATTTTTTTTTTTTTTTCAAAATTGCAGTGTTTCCATTTTGGAAATTCTTTCTCTTAACTACAATTTATGTAATTTGATGGTTAATGGAAATGCATCTATTGGCCACCATGTGGACATAATTCACAAGCAATTCCCCTCTAAACCAGAGGGTGGAAGCAGTGATACTCTCAGTTGGAATGTTGTAACTAATTTGACATTTTAATTGTTTTAATATTGATGCTACATCCAGACCGCATGCGTTAGAGGCAGCAGAAGCAGCTAGTTTACATGCAAAGTTAACGGTTGACGAGTATCTTGGCGCAGCAAAAGGTCCTGCAGCGCGTTTCGAGCAGTGGGAGCAGGGCGTCTGAGCAGCTGAAGCAATGCGTCATAAGCTTCTGCGCATCTGACGCATGAGATCAAAAAGAGCAGCTGCTGGAGTTGGAAAAATGTTACTTTTGCTGCACGATGCGCCACTTCAACCAATCAGAGGAGCTGATCTGGGAGCTGGCAGGGAGATGGATCTGATGCAGATCGCTATGATCACTCCACTGAAACAGTTTATTAATGCCTAAATGAGCCTAAAATGTCAAAACCTACAGGCAAAATATGTTCGATTTCATTATTCTGGTGCCTGCAGTTTGGATTACACATGAAAAATGCCTTCCAGCCACAGCAAACAGTAGTGGTAAACCCCCAAGAGGCAACCAGGAAACGCGCTGCCGTTGAACAGTATTTCATGGGACAGAGCTCCGCCAGTATACAGGGGTCTGAGCAGCTCAGACAACGAAATAATATTTTAAGGCAGGATCGTAATCTTGATGAACTGACTGCACAGATGAAGCTTTAATGTGTTTTTTTACCCACTTATAACAGCAAATATATCAAAACCACTCTCTGCCATTGAACACAGGAGCAGCACAAACATCAGACGCATCTGGACAAACTTTACTGGAGGCGCTTTAGGGGCATCAAAGCTTCTCTTGATGTGCGTCTGACCGCAGAAGTTTTTTTGCTGCTTCCAGCGCTTGCGGTCTGAACGTAGCATGACAGTAAACCAACAACCAAAATACAGTAGTTAATTACTTTTAGGCATCCCCTAAGTCGGTCTTAGAGGGCCTCTGTCCTGCAGGTTTTAAAGGTTTCCCTGAATCTGCACAGCTGATTTTCATTGATAGCTGATAAACAGGCTTTTGCTGAACTGCAATCATTAGAATCAGCTGTGCTAAAGCAGGGAAACCTCTAAAACCTGCAGGACAGAAGCCCTTGAGGACCGACTTTGGGGATGCCTAACTCACATCAATATACTAACATGACAGATGATAAATAAAGAATTAAGAATTAAGATTTTAGAGCTATTTGTTGTCTTGTATGGGGTGGAAGAGAAAGTGATGCTTCTCTGCAAGTCATGTTGGGAGTCTTTAAGGTAGTTAGAGATAAATAACTAAACTTATTTAATATATTTATTGCCTCTGGGGGAAAAAAAATCCTTAAAGTAAAATTTCAAGTTATGGACGGACTTTATGTAATGTGGGTTTAAGACCATGCTACCTGTTCTTCTGCCATTGTGTGAATGAAATCGCCCAGATACACCCTGGTCTATATTTCTGTCATTTGATGGCTCCTCTACTTCTTATAAACTTTTAAAACAAATTTTTGCAACTCTCAGCCATTTTCAAAGCATATACAGTGAGAGCTGAGCTAGCTTAAACCAAAGCTAACCAGATACGTGAACAGTAGAAGTGCGCATGCACAGCAAAACCATGCCAATATGTAAGAAGATCACCCAGAACTCAAAGCCAAAAGATTTTCCTCTATACCCTTTTTATTTATTAGCAAAAGTTTATTTTTATTTGAGAAATAATAATGTTGTGCTCATTCATTTTCCTGTTGGTACAGGGAACTTTTTGTGTGTAATAGTAATTAATCGTACTCACAAAGAGAGTCTTTCTGCATCTCCTGAGTGAGGTAGGACCGTTTGGTCAGACAGTGCAGGTATCGCTCCAGGACGTACCAGCACATCTCGTAGTAAAACGGGAAGCGGAATTTGGAATGAACCTGAGGAAAGACGAATTTATGAACTCAGATTCCTTTTGCAATGCTAAGTTTTTTAAACAAACCTCAATAATTGATATGTGTGTGTGGAAAGGAAGAGGGCTGACAGGAACATTTATTTTTATACATGGTCGGTTATAAATCCAGACAAAACAGAAGACAGTCTAAGAAACAGTTGTTATGTTGCATCCTAAGCAGACAATACTTTGAACATTTAAGACAAATATGCAAATAGCACAGACTGAATTTAAAATTTTCTTGAATGTTTAAAATGATTCCGTCTTGTGAAGAAACCAAAACATAAAACAAAAAGACAACAATTCTTTTCTCATTTTAAAACTGAACTTCAAACATTTCTTTTACCCCATAATTAATCTATGGTTCACAGAGTTCACTGTATCATTGTGCAGGTCAGGTTTTTATCCGGCACTCCAGAGTGCAGACTCCTACCTTTGTCCTGTTCTCTATCTCATGGATGGTAAACTGCATAGGGATGTTAAAGCTGTGCAGAATGTTGCCTCCAAACACTAGTGTGTCCACAGGAGTGTAAACCGCATGGATCCATCCTAAAGTTGCAAAAAGCAATAAAAATCTATAAGGAAGGCTGAAATTGTCTAAAAGCATGATGTAATAGACATGTCTACCATGGATGGATGGATGGATGGACTGATTGGTTGATTGATTGATTTTATATATTCTATTGATTTGTTTTTTTCATACAGAGAAAATACAGTAATTTAACTCCAGACCATGACCCACTTTTACACGCTGCATAGAAACCTAGCAGATACCGTACAGTAACCACTAAAGGTGCCCTTTCTTATTTAACTGCTGACTGATCTGTTTCTCCTGCCAACTTAAAGACCACTATGCCAGCTCACCAGACGGGATGAAGAAGGTGTATCCTTGTTTAAGCTCCACTCTCTGACATCCATCAGCTCGGTCTCCCAGGAAGATGTCGCTCTGTTTGCCTGAAAGGACCCAGTCCTCATACAGTGCAAGGTTATATGGGGTTGGAGGCACAAGCCAGAACACCTGACAATAAGAAGTGTTTTTTACTGCAAAGGATTTTGCTCACATTGAAAAATCTTAGTTTAGGCATTGATGTGATATAACTTTATTAAAAAAAAATAATAAAAAAAAACTAAACAGACATACTTTTAGTCCTTTGAATACATGATACCAAACTGAAGTTCCTCCGAAATCGATGTGAAAGTCTGTGTAGCAGCCCTTCACGCTCATCAGACAGTATCTGAAAGGAAATAAAAGAATAAAAATACGCACAAAAGCTGTTCAAATAATAAACCTATTCACCACTTTGAAGTAAGGAGAAAGGTTAGTAAAGTATTTTCTGCAATATAAAGCGGACTTAAAAGCCTTTAATTTTCTCCAAAAAAAGTCAGTGCACCTTATACATTGATACTTCTGGTTGTGTTCGCTGACTTCGAATACATTTGGTGTGGTACGCCACTTTGCTAAACTACAAAGCACAGCACAGCATTGCAGCGTTACAGCTACTGTAGTCAGGAGCATCACTAACACACAATGTGCTTCATCATAATATTACAGAGTGTGTATACGGACCCCAAAATCCATCTGTCAAAACTTAAAACGTTAGGCTATCAATCACATAGTACAACACTGCAATAGAGATGGTCCAAGAGAATAAAACATCAATGAATCAATGGTACCGGAGAAGGGAAGTAAGATGATGACCTGCGCCTTATAGTCCGGTGCTTCTTTTATATGAAAAAAGTTCAATAACAGAACCTAAACCTATAGTGCCGAAAATATGGTAGTAGAAAAAAAAAAAAGCACTATCCCAAGATAGAAAACAGCACAGAGGCACAACAGTAGAAAACGGGGAAATATTGAGCCTGAGGGAGAAATTATTACTGATTTAGCTTCAGGACAAAGGCTCTAAAAACACATCTACTAGAGTGGAAACAGGAAAAGAAACAATTTCTTAAAACTATGAAAATATTATTTCTCTGTGGGTAGTAACTAGTTACATTTACTCAAGTAACTTTAAAATAAAATCATTTTAGGGGTAGTTTCAAAGCATTGTACCATTTACTTTTAATTGAGTAAAAATAAGATAAAGTACCCCTTACTCTTACTTATGGAAAATATCTGGCTACTCCACTTATTGTAAGTAAACAAGCCTATTTAAAACAAACATCCACCAGAGAAACACTTTCCTTAACTTTTTCTTTTTGGTTTAATGTTACTTTAAATCTGCTGAGTCTGACACATCATGTGGAGGTCCATTAAAAATGCAGTAAAAAATATACTGTAATTTGTCCCATTCAAACATACCATAACTATTGATTTATACGTTTTTTAACTCAAAAAATATAATGCGAAGAAGGTTAATTCAACTTACATTTTGCAATGTGTAATTACTGTATGTGTTTGCATATGAGTTTATATTTTTATTTCACTTTGGTAAAACAATAAATCCCTTTTTACAATTCTGGGTTGTAAGTTTATCAGTTACTTAATGATAGAGTAGCCTTTTTTTACCAAATATTTTTTACAATTACTTGAGTCATTTCTTTAAAGATTACTTTTTACTTTTACCTGAGGAAAAATATGAAGAAGTAGTGCTACTCTTATTTCAGTATCATTTTTGGATTCTCTACCCAACTCTGTCTGAGTTATAAAGTGATATTTTAATAAGAAAAAACTAAACGTCAAATGTTTCATACATTTGAAAAACATCTAGTATTAACCAGCTAAAAACAATTTGGTAACTTACACATGTCGAAAAGGTGAATTGGTTCTAGTGTGTTTATATTTTCTGTGAGTTGTAATATTTAGCTCATAATATGTATGTTCCCTTCTAAAAGAAAGGGGCCTGAGTGTAAAATTAGTACATTAGAAACATAAGCTAATTAAAAGTTGAACTTTTATCAATTTCAGGGTGAAAAATGAAAGCAGTTCTCAGTTTGTTAGCCTGTTTACTTACCAGAGTGTTCTTGTTTCTCGTTATCATTTAAGTTTTTTTTTTTCAAAGGCTAATTTTTCCATGATCAATTACAATCTACATGCACCTAAACCTGTCGTGTGACATTGTAATTTTCCACCTAGACAAATGATTCAATTATTTTAAAGACTTGCCTTGCAGCTTTCTTAGTTCATTGTACCTTTCAAATAAATTTGCATAATTAAGGTTATTTAAACTTTGTACTGTACGGTCTTTTTTTTTTTTTTTTGCTTATTCTTAATAAGACAAAATTTCCATCTGTCTATGAATGAATGAAAAATAGCAGCCTGGCTAATTGTAAAACATTTACAGCAGCATTAATGAAACTAAATTCTCTGTGTCGAAAAGAGCAATAAATTTAAATTAAACTCTAGATCTATGAGGCCTTGTTTTTTGACAGCCCGCAGTTATGAATTATCCCTGTTTTATCTTAACTTTTTAAAACACACATAGTTTCCTTAAACTTTTCTATACATTTTTTCTCTTAAAAAAACAGCTAATGGAGTGATTTCAGAAAGTTTTACCTTTGCACCTTGGGGTATTTCATCTCTGAAATAATGTTGGTGGCTTCTGTTTGGCTATGCCTCAGATCAGGAGGCCACATGTTGTCCACCCAATCAACCTGATCCACCTGTAAACAAAAGTAAAATGGGACCTTTAAGCTTAAAAAACATCTCCTTTGCCATTAGATGTCTGCACCTCTCTAAAGTCTATCACTATGTCAACATGTGTTTGCTAAGTTGCGATTACCACTGTGGGCCGCTTGATGAGATGCTCCAGCTTAGTGTGGCTGAACTCTAAGCTTATGACATTGAAGAGCTTGTCACGCTCTTCCTCTGGTGTCTCGTAATAACGGACAAACTGAGCCATGCTCATTTCAGAGCCTTTTTGAGTGCTGACGTCCATGACATCCACAGACCTGCGACTTCCTGGAAAGAAAAATAAATAAATTAGCCATATCATAACTGACACCAATCCTTTCTAAAGCATTGATTGTAGTTTCTTGTTCTCAAAAAAAAACATGCAACTCTAACTAAAAAATAGATTTACTGTGGAAGAAATTAGTTTTAAAAAGCTATGTAGTACATAAATTACTGATAACTGAAATACTGCATATAAATATGTTTTTAAATGCATATTTTAAGTTGGCATGTAAGGAAATGAAATAAATCAGCCACTATTTTAGATTTTTAGAGGGTATGAATATGACATTACCCAAAGGCCCAATTTCCTGAACCAGACTTTAAAATGAAAAAAGAAAACAAATGAAGAAAACATGCCAATTTAAGACAAGCAGAAATGCATTAGCTCTAACAATTCAGAACATAGCTGCTTATAACTATTCATAGTCCTATAGTGACTAAAAAGTAAAAAAAAAAAAATAACCTGCAACACACTAAATTACACGGAGTTCATTTTATTCTGTCATGCGCATTGAGAATGACAGCAAAAAAAAACTGAAACGTTATAACCTTTTTGCTAGTGTTAGATTACGCTGCTGTATAATAATAATAATAAAAAGGGGACTTATCAATGTGTGTGTGCATCATTACAAGTGTAAGAAAATGTTTAGGGTTCAACTCATCTGCTCAGGTATAAAAAAACTTAAAGGTATAGTGGAGGATGTTCTTTTTCCGGATGGATCATCAAAATAAGTGGTCCTTCTAATTGTCAATCATTCTGGTGATATGTTTATGTAAGGCCGTCCTACATGCTTGTCCCCATTTTCACTTACCAGTTGGGAGTGTGCATGAGGAGAAATGGGCTTGTGCATGCTCTCGCACCCGTTTAGTAGTCGTTCCCTCTCAGGAGCAGGTACAGGGTCGTGCATGTGCTTTTTTTTTTAAGTGGAGAGGGCGGGTCTTTTCAAAAATTTGCAAAATTCCTCCACTATACCTTTAAAAGGATCCTCAAAGTGTCATTCTTAGCGTTCCCCACAAGATGGGCTGATGGGATCAGAATTAAAATCAAAATCAAACTGTATATACTTCAAAACCAGAAACTAAAAGAAAAAGCCAAACATGAATAATGACTTTACATCCTGAAAGGAGGTCAAAGATCAACACAACTATAGGACCATAGCTGACCACTGTACTTTTATTCAGGGTTCAAACATTTTATTTTCATCTCAGCATCATATTTAAAATACATAAACAAATGTATTATGTAAAGGATACCTCTCTGTATTTTAAAATATAATCATTAAATGCTTCCATTTCGTACTAATTTAAATAAAAAGAAAATATAAATTTAATAATCATTTATCATGCTTCTAATCTAATTATCACATTTTTTTGGGCAAGTCTGCAGTGATTTCTTCTTTTTTAAATCAAGCAAAAGAAGGTATTGTAAATAACCAAACGCTTCAATTTTATGGTGGCCATTTCAACGTCTATAAAACGAGTTTAGACTTTTAAATAACTTTNTTACCATATGAACATGTTGGTATTTGTTGCTTTCCACTTACCAACTAATCCTTTTATTTCACTGACTGTGAATTCCGGATCAGGCATTCTGCAAACACGCAGAGTAAAAATAGAAAAATAATCTCATCAGGGAAGCATGTCTGACAATGAGAAACATTTTAGCAGCATCTGTTTGCACATATTGTCCTCTATACTGCAGCAGTCCTTTCATCACACCAGTTTAAAAAAAAAACACACAGGCACAAACCAAAGAGAAAAAAAAATCTAAAATACTGCTGAGATGAGAGTGCTTGGCTGTTCTAACCAACCACTTATCATAATTCAACTTTATTGATCTCACACTCACACAACTTTACCTCTGAATTTAACCCATCCCCTTGGGGAGCAGTGGGCTGCCATTGCGTGGCGCCCGGGGAGCAGTGTGGGGTTAAGGGCTGTGGGGATCAAACCAGGTGCTTGCAACCTTCTCAGGGCACAGGCAAACTTCTCTAACCACTAGGCCAACACTCGCCTAACTGAAGCAATAAAACTGGATCACCTCAAATCACAAGTACGACCACAATTGGTCAACATCAGTCAAAATGTAAAAATCTAAAATAAAAGTCTCTTCCATACTAATTTTCTAGAGATGAAAAGTTTGTTTCTCACACAAATAGACCCAATCAGAAAGGTGAACGACGACACACATTCATAAAATTTGAGTCGTTCAACTGAGACTTCTTGGTTTTCTCCAATCATAACCATGAATCCCAGACATCCTTTCTGGCAATTACGTAATAATAATAATAATTGAACTTTTTTGATCTCACACTGGAGAAATGAACTCTCTGCATTTAACCCATCCTCTTGGGGAGCAGTGGGCTGCCACTGTGCAGCGCCCGGGGAGCAGTGTGAAATTAAGGGTCTTGCTCAGGGACCAAGACTGCAGGCTGTGGGGATGGAACCGAGTACTTGCAACCTTCTCAGAGCACAAGCGCACTGCTATAACCGACTAGGCCAACACCCCCCTCTCCAAACACACTATTTTTATGCCTTAAATAAATAGAACAGCATTTAATGTGAATAATCTATACACATATGGGTGTTTCTGTACTATGCTGATGAAGATTCTCAGTCATCCAGGTCATAGCCATTTCTCAATTCAAAGCTTCCTGGAGGGGAAGTGAAACGTCTTCAAATCTTGGAAACCAAGTCCAGTGGATTGTTTTTTAAACTTACAGAGTGTTTCTGTACTGCTTCTGATTGAAATGGCTGCGCAACTCCAAATTAAAATATAGATTTAGTTGTTTTTTATAAAAAGACTATAAAGGGTTGAAAGAAATGTTTGAATGTGTGCAGTTTAGTCTGTTAATATAACAGGTTTAAAAATGATGAACTTCATTAAAAACTGAAATAACTCACCTTATCCCTAATCCATCTTTCTCTTTAAAAATAAGTGGTATCCTGAGGGCCTCCCTTTGCACATATTCATAAGTGAAATCTGCAAGACAGGATTTATTATTTTCCAAATCCAAATCTTTACCTGTGAAGACATTCATACATTTAAAAAAACAGCATTGGACATTTTTTTTGTTTCAAATATATAATCTCAGACCCCACTCATATTCTTTATTCAGAGTATGCGTTTCTTGATTGAACCGCTATTGGAACTCATTTGTTCCGCTTTCCATTAAGGCAATAAACAGTATCAAGCACTAAATTATGGAATAGGCAATGGTAATTACAAATTTAAACTAAACTGACATGCTTTTTTAAATGTATTCATTATGTCGCATAAACACATAATTCAAAGAAGGGTTTTTATACATTTTTTTATTGCGAATTTAATGTAACATGCTTCCTTATGTATTTATTTATTGTCTTATAATGAAATTTTTATAGCAGTGTTTTTATGTGTGAATGCAGAGTGACATAGTTTCCTTTGGGACAATAAAGTTAATCGCATCTTATGACGTATGAAGACGTGTTTTTACCTCTTCCCTTCATTATGTGGACAAACTCTGAGCTGTAAGAGTCACTGGAGAGTTTTTCCTCCACGCTGAATCCTCTGATGTTCACCATCTCCTCCACGTCGGACAGGTCTTCGTTCTCATCGTACATCCTCCGGCAGATGGAGCGCTGCCATTGGAGAATGGCATTATTTACATGACAAAAAAAAAAACAGCGTGAAAAAACCCCACTCCTCCACAGATGGCCACTAAATAATAGAAGGGGGGTGGGTGAATGTTTAGGTAACTTTAACTCTAAGGTTGGATTATTTTATATTTTATATTCCTAATGATGTCATCGCAGCAGAACAATTCTTAAACATATCTTCTCGCTTCAGTCATTTTTTATTGCTTTGCTCCAACTTTCCCAGCCTCTATAAGCTGATGTTTTCAGTTGGAAGCGTTAGCTAAGCTAACCCTGTGTCTCTCCTCATGCTAACGCAAAGGACGCTACGCACCAGCCTCCGTCCACTTTCTCCGTCCGGAGACTGAGCCATCCTCTCTTCGGGTCGTTTTCCAGCCTCTCAGTTTCAGGGAAGCATTCTTTCGTAGTAAAGTTAAGGAGGCACTTAGCACGCTTTACGCTTCAAAACAAGGGAACCATGTTTTTGTGTATGACGTCATGGCCAGGAACCAAAACATTGTTGGACGACGTCACATGTCACACCCCTGCTTTTTTTTGTTTTGTTTTGTTTTTTTTTTTTTACAAACAATAAATAGTTGGCTATAAACCATAAAGTTGTTTTTTTTAAGTATAAAATCTGCTTTGTTTTAAGAGTCGAGTTGCAATATTTCATATTAAACAAGCAGAATTTATTACATTATTACTATGTTGACATGTGGATTTTGTTTGGTTTATATTATGAGGAAAATATTCCTAATTGTTGGTATTTTTTTATTTGTTAAACTCATGTCAGTTATCCACACATTTTTATAAGGGTGGCCAGACAATAACCAACGTACACTGAGGGGTGGCCGATAGTTGATAGGCACCAGAATTGCAGGGTCAATCTACAACAGGGAAATGAATGGCCACAACATCCATATTTTCTAAATAAAGATAAACTATACTTTTCTACAACCTTTGCTGACAAAAATACGGATAAATATTTAAACATCTGTGCTTTCTAGATAGCAGGTATAGTGGATACAATTCTTTGAGGTTTGAGTTTTGGGCGAACATCTTTTCTGTTGTCATTACTTACCTACTTTTATCAATAATCATTCTGCATAAAATTGATATTTACATGTACTAATATCTACATAAATTGATTATTTAATACAATTTATTAAAATGGGGCTGCTCAGTGGAACAGTGGGTAGCACTGCTGCCTTGCAGCAAGAAGGTTTCGGGTTCAATTTCCCGCTCAGGGAGTTTGCATGTTCTCCCCTAAGCAAGCGTGGGTTTTCACCGGGTACTCCGGCTTCCTCCCACAGTCCAAAAACATGACACTTGGGTTAATTTGGTTGTTAAATTCTCCTTAGGTGTGAGTGTGTGTGTGAACGGTTGTTTGTCCTTTTTGTCTCTGTGTTCCCCTGCGATGGACTGGTGACCTGTCCAGGGTGTACCCCACCTCTCACCTATTGACAGCTGGAGAGAGGCACCAGCAACCCTCACAACCCCACTTGGGATTAAGCATGTCAGAAAATGGGTGGATGGATGGATTGATAAAATAGTTATTTATCAATAATTTTACTGTAGAGATGACTTGCAGAGACACACCATTTTCTCTTTTCCACATAAAACACAAAATCTACTTCTGAAAAGAGCATGAATTCTGTACTTATCATCTTTAATGTTAGTATATTAATGTGCATAATTAACCACAGTGTTTTTGTTGTCAAGTAATTGTTAATATATGAAAAATGTAAATGTTTTGAATATTCCACTTGAGAGTATTACTGCCGCCAGCATCTGTATTAGAGTGGGTGAAAAAATGTTAGGGGTGGCCAATGATTGGCTAAGGCCCTGGCCCCCCATCTAGCTCCAACCCTGTGTCCACCTCTAAAATTAAACTAAATCCACAAAATGCAAGTATCTGATTTTAGTATGGATCTTTGCCCAAAGAAGGTCAGCTTTTTTACTTTTTTTTAATATTTCGTTTGCAAGTCTTATTTTATTATAAATTAGCCTCATGTTAGATTTTTGCTTTGCAAATTCATACTTGTTTTTTTTTTGGCTATCACCTCATTTCCATACCAAACACCTGCATTGCCCAACGAGCAATGTTAGACATGAATAATACATGCTTTCATGTCTCACCACAATTAAGATTTATTAGTTTTAAAAACATATATGTGATTTGAACTTCTGATGCATTTATCCATCCATGCATCCATTTTCTGACATGCTTATCCCTGCTGGGGCATGAGTGGTGCTGCTGCCTATCTCCAGCTGTCTATGGGAAAGAGGCAGGGTGCAACCTGGACAGGTCGCCAGTCTATCGCAGGGCAACACTGAGACAAACAACCATTCATGCACACACCCACACATAAGGAGAATATAAAGAAGTTATGTTTTTGTACTGTGGGAGGAAGCGGACCACCCGGAGAGAACCCACACATGCTCAGGGAGAATAAGGCCCAGGAATCCCACCTTCTTGCTGCAAGGCAGCAGTGCTACCCACTATGACACTGTGCATCCCGCTCTATGTTTTGCTTTACAGAATTCAAAGATTTCCCCATTGTATATAAACACCTTTATAACTAGATGGTATGTTGTCAACCTAACATCTGCGATTCTCAAATAGAATCCAAAGTCTAATGAAAACTGTGTTTTGGTGACTGATTAAATCTGATGTACCAATGCCCTATTATTTCTTTCATTACTCCAGACAAAACTCTGGAAAATATCATCCCTGATCTGGAAAAGAATAGCTTTACACAAAAATACAAAAGTTGCATCCAATGTCATTGATCCATCCATGAGTGTGGATCTCTTGCTACACAATCCTCTTGAGGCTGCAGGTATCTCAACTGCCTGTGTTCTTGTTTTCTATCACATTTCCATTCAGTTCTAAATTACAGTATATTTTTTTTTAATTCTGTATAAACACTAAAAATGACTAACTCAATGTTTTAAGTTCAGAGACATTTTACATCAGAATGAGGCACCTGTTTAAAAAAAAAGACTTGGCCAAATGATTCGGATCAAAAAACATTTTCCTTATAAACACTAAAAAATACGTTTTAAACAAGTTAAGGATGTCTTGAAAAGTTTCCAACATCCTTTTTATTGGTTTTATTAAACATAGTCACTCTCTTAGAGGCTTAATATTGGATTACATTGGTGGTGAATCATTGTCTTTTAAGATTAACAGAACAAATAAATGTTTCAGCTTGCATAGGCACCGGATTATTGACTAACTCAATAATCCATTTTATATAAGAATGAGGCACCTGTTAAAAAAAAAAAAAAAAAAGACTCAGCCAAATGATTCGGATCCCGGAAAAGATTCTGAATTCACAGACCGTTCATCGGCGGATGTTGTTTCGCGTTGTATTGTGGGTAATTTAAGGTGCGAAAACAGATCAACACGCTGAAGGAAGACTGTGTGACAAAAAAGAGCTTCCGCAGTTTACAGCAAGCAGACGAATCTAAATCCTTTTTATGGAGACTTAATTGAACGTTTTTTCTTTCCTGTCTTGTGGCGCGAGGTTACCACTGAGTTGCGCCGGTCGGCCGGTGATTTGATAATTAGCGCAACATGAGTTTAAGCGAGCATTCACTGCAAGCCTTGTCCTGGAGGAAGCTGTACCTGAGTCGAGCCAAACTGAAAGCTTCGAGTCGGACATCAGCTTTGCTCTCCGGATTTGCTATGGTAAATTCAACTCATTGTGATTAGTATTCCACTGTAAATTGAGTGATTTCCAATGCATTCTGGTTCTCTTTTCTATAAGGTTGCCATGGTGGAAGTGCAGCTGGATAACAGTTACCCATACCCACCTGGACTCCTCATCGCCTTCAGTGCCTGCACCACTGTGCTGGTTGCTGTCCACCTGTTTGCTCTGATGGTCAGCACCTGCATTCTGCCCAACATAGAGGCTGTCAGCAACGTGCACAACCTCAACTCTGTGAAGGAGTCTCCCCATGAGCGGATGCACAGACACATTGAGCTGGCATGGGCTTTTTCAACGGTCATTGGCACTTTGCTCTTCCTCGCCGAGGTGGTTCTGCTCTGCTGGGTCAAATTTTTACCCATTAAGCCGGACAAATCCAACAACAGCACAGTCTCCTCTGGCATGGCTGCTGCTCTCACCTCTACTTTCATTATGGTTCCCTTTAGTTTAATCTTCATAGTCTTTGCAGTGCATTTTTATCGCTCGTTGGTCAGCCACAAGACCGACAGACAGTTTCAGGAGCTGGAGGAGCTGTCTAACCTCACCAGGCTTCAAAATGAGCTGGACAACAGGGGAGAATCATCCATTCTACAATCACCAAGCTCACAGTTCCCATAGAAAAATGAACATATCTGTTTTTGGAACTACAAGACAGGACACAATTTTGGATCTGGATTTTTCCATAAAACCTTTACCTTTTTATAGTTTTTTTGTTTTGTTTTGTTTTGTTTTGTTTTGTTTTCAGAAGACACTGGATCTTACTGTGAACTCATAAATGTGCCATAATGCATGTAGATGGGAATCACACAGTCCTTAATAGGATTTTAGCTTATTAGATTTCCATCAGCCAAAGTGGATATCTGGTTTTCTTCTAAGTTTTACCTGCTGAGTTTGATTTTATTGTTTTTGCAAAAAAAAAGTGTATATATATATATATATATATATATATATATATATATAAAAACATAAGAAGGAAAATATACTGAAGGATACTTGATTTTGGTTGCAGTTACAGAGACAACTGGAAATGAAGGAACAAGGCGCTTTGGTTTATATGCGTTTAGCCCAAAGGTTTTGTGAATATTTGATGCATTGGTACGTAAGCGATTCAATTCTTTTCACCATTTGACCTTTAGATCACAGATTAGACATAATTTTCTAAGTAACTAATGCATCTTATCTTGGCAGACATTTCATTGTTGGACTCATTTTTGTTGCCTTACTGCATTTATTAATTGCTCTCCAAAAAGCACATATTCTTTCTTGGTTATTGCACTGATGTGTGTTTGAAACACAGCTTTTTAACATTTGTGTGTGTTTTTAAAGGCAATGTTCTGACGGTATTTGAACTGGTTTCTGTTTGTGTTGACTAACAATCTGCCAACCTTACAGTGTTATCAGAGTTCTGACATTATTGTGTTTTAATAAACACCTTTAAACTAAGCAGGATTCAAATGTGTTTGTCAAACACTTACAGTTTCATACTTGTCAAGCTAATCAAAACATGCTAATCAAGATGCCTCCGTTTAAACACAGCTATCTCTTGTATGATTTCATGATTGCATATGATTTTATTGCTAATATCTAAGTCATTTCTATACCAACATGTAACTTTTGTGCTGCATTCAGAACGGATCCATAGTATTTAGCTGTTTATCTTAGTGACACTTTCTTTTAACAGTAAATTCAATGTTTCTGGTTTGAATGAGCAATTGAATATCATATAGATGGACTGGCTCAAGGAACTGGATTTCTAAACAGCCTTGGTTAGAAATAGGAAGCAAAAGTATAGCTTCTAAGGAAAAACACAATCCTACAATTGTAATTCCTCGATTAAATTTGATGACACTTGCAATGGTTACAAACAGAAATTATCAATGTTACATTTAAATTGAATCTAAAAATCCAAAAAGTTTGATGTCAAAGACATGGGACAGATGATTTACGGAACACGTGGAGTTAGTTTATCGGTGGTTAAACTTAATGAAGTGGGAACTCGTCATTTTTTTTCCCTCTTGGTGTTCTTCCACTTGGTGTGCTGATTTAGCTTCCCGTAAAACCAACTCCATGTCCAACAGGTTAAGCTTGGGAAAGAAAACACATAGAAAACATATATAAATTGTCAGCATTTAACTGAAGAATTTAAAGTGTCTCCAGATTTTTTTGAAGAATCAGTTTTCTGGGGACATTCTAAACCCCTTTTTTCACTGCAGCTACCAGAACAAAAACTGATTCATCAGGTGAATTCTTACCCTTGTGGGTAAAGTTTACTGGAGGTGGTATGGTTAGCATTTCTAATCGGCGTCTGCAGTTAACATCCATTAATCTTTTAATTCATGAAGAGTTTTTCTGACAGGCAGAAGCAAGCACTCTTTGGATGTGCAGGGTTTTAAAAACCTATGGCATTGGTTCATGTCTTCGCATATGTTAAAAATATTTAAAGTTACCGCTGTATAACCAGATTTTAAACTTATACTTGATTATCTGATTAAGGGTTCAGGGTAATTTACTTCTAGAGGGTAAAACTTCAGGGTAAAGCCAACCATTTAAAAACAGTCACAGCAGTTAAAGCGCCGTGTCATACCTTCGGAAATTGGTACTTAGGCGGTGATTTGTCCGTCCCAAATTCTCCAAGAGTCCCATATTTTGCTGCTCCATCCACCCAATAGCCTACATAAAGCTGGTTCTTGTCAGAGTAGTAGAACTTTCCATCACCGTTCTTCTTCCCATCTCGCCAGGAGCCCTCATACCAGTTTCCATTGGCTGTAGGAACATTTTTGTGGAGGAACCCACTTAAACATATAGGAGCTCAAACTTTTTTTTTATCTGAAAGTGCAGAATAAAGTAATCTCTTACAAAATCGAATGATCCCTTGACCATGTTCCTTATCGTTCACCCA